AAGTTCAACAAATTGTTCGTTTAATGTTATTAATAAGCTGAACTTCATTTCAGGTCATAGCTCATAAATTAATTCTCATCCTGAGAAACGCTAGTTGGCTTAACTACCCCAGGTTTCAAACCTGCTGGTAGGATGTTTGACCAAAACTGATGGTAAAATGGAATTGAGCATAATAAGAATGTCTTTAAACTGTGGGAGGAAAGCATAACTGATAAATGATATAGGGACAGGAAAAATGCAAACTCCTAACACAGAAATGCTGGAAATAAAATTAAAATATTCCTTTACTTTTTGCAAGAATCTGCAGACAAATGAAACTACAAATCACATCACATGCTTCTTCAGCCTGCACAGTCTTTTTTGATGAGGTTGTCACCAAACATGGGCCGTCAGATCACCTACTGACCTGAGATGGCAGGACTTGAGGAGCGTGTACGTCAGTCCAGAAGTTCAGACTATACCAAACATTGATTGTCCTTTAGCCAACTATTGTCAAAATCCTTCTCTTAAGTAACTTAAAATAAAATAGTTATTAAAATGTCTCGAGTGGGAGGGTGAATAGACATATCTTAAACTGGTTGTGCAGTGATTAAGATTATGTGTTCGAGTTTTCTGAGAGCTATGGTTTCCTTAGAAGAGAAAACTGGAGTGCTCACACATACACACGGAGAGACTTTGTGTTGCAAAGCAGTGAGGTTGAAGCAACAACAGTGTGTACTTGTCAACTATAAATGCATCTTTAAAACAAATTTAAAAAAAAACAAGTACAGGTGGACATTTGGCTTTATATTCAACAACAACGCAAGAAAATCAGGATAATTTCTAGAAAGAAAACTGAAGTGAAATTATTGAAAAACAAACACACACATACACACATACATTATAGAAGGCTTAGTAGAGTAAGCTATTTGATCTGTGAGTAATAAAATGTTCTAAATAATTCCAGTCTATAGTCTTTTCTGTAGTTATGATACCACCTGTGGGTTTCTGTTGTGTAAATGCAGAGTAAAGGAACTTCTGAGGATTAGAAAATGGGGTTAATAGCTCCAGTTGTTTGTTTTTACTTTCGTATTAAGTGATATACGTGTTTCGTTTTGTTTTCAATTAAAAATGTGTCAGAGAGTGGCTATTTGTCCAGGGTGTAACAAATGCATGATGGGACAGCTGTCTGCTCCCAGTGGCCCAAAACGTGAAGCGTGTACGTGGATAATGGATGGATAGACATCTTCTGTGTTTGCTGCGATGGAACTGCTAATATATCTGTTTCTAGTCTTTTTATTTGTTCTGCATTTAATTCCACTTCACTAAAAGCAACAAAGCGTAACAGCATGTACATATGGTGCAAACAAACAAACACTAAAAACATCATCAGCATCAAAACTCCATCTAATATCTTAACTTATTACACTCTTATGAACATGTTTGTGGTGCCCTTAACTTAAACTGTGTTCTTGCTTGAATGTAGTTTTATTTGTATAAACTCAGAGAAAGAACACAGCTGATGAACAGTAATAAACTATGAGATGAGGGTGATGAAAGCAATTCAACCAGTGAAATGGAAACAACTACACAACTAGTAAAAATCTGGAAGAATCTTGTTCATGTTTCACTTATCGTGGTTTTTTTTTAGCTTAGCTTTAGCTTCATAATCTCATATCTGTCAAGAAAACCAGTGAAGAAAATTTGAATAAGACTGTAATATACACGTGTCCCTCTATGATGTAAAAATCTGTTTGAGTCATATCCCAAAAGCTGTTTATTTTTGCAAGACATAGTGATTTGATATGGACAATCTTCCTGCTTGTAGATGTTATATCACAGTCACATCTGCTCCCAGCCTGTGGCCTCATGTCTGTGGTATCTCTGAACACATGAAGGCTGACATTTTTCAAATGTGAGTTGTGAGACAAACAACATCAGTGCCAGATGTTTATAGATCAAACTGTCTAAAGTGTTTCTGCAGTGACATGAAAACATAAAACAGATTATTCAGTGAATATGAAGCAAAGGGAGTAACAAGCAAACTGTAGACTCTCAATATGTATATTATTAGTTCCAATAATAAACTCAATAAAAATAAGGAATACAATTCAGATCAGACCTATTTTAATAATTTTGCCTCCTTTCACCACTACAATGAACTGACTGTGACTGAAGAGCAGACTTTGAGCTTTAATTGAAGGGCTTTTACAAGTATGGCATTAACTGTTGAGGAATTAAAGCCCCTTTTTTTATACATTTGCAGAGGATCAAAAGTCATTGGACAGTTGACTGACAGGCAGTTTTATGGCCAGGTGCAAATGAAGGAGGCTGAAAAACCTAAATAAACCCATCAGAGTGACAGAAAAAAAGTTTAGGCATGGACAAATAATCTAGCTAATTCTTAAAAGGAAGGAACACACAGAATTTGCTGAAGTTTTTCCTGAAATAATAAAAATCTATTCTCAATGTCAAGTCAAGAACATTCTTGAGGAGGTTGGACTCAACAATCAAGCTGTAATATTATTTCACCATGTTTGACAGATAATGTGTCAGTTACTTTAAGTTATTCTTTGTCTTCATCTGTCCAAAGCTTTTTTGCATTTTTGTATAAGTTGTTTTCTTAAAAACAACAAAATCCATGTAGTTGAGTATAAAAAGTGGTTTGCACCTTACTGTGAATGAATTGTATTTACATGCATACTGACATCTCTTGAATGAAGAGTTTTATCATGATGAGCATATCTCCTCAAGAATGTGACTTGGCTAGATGTTTTGATTAGGTTATATTAATTATGGAAAACAAATCTGAAAACAAGGCATTTCTTCTTATTAAGAATGAACTAGGTTTCTGATTTGATCGCTCCTATTTTTTCTATAATTTTGTTTATTTTGCTTTTTTTAACCCCTCTTATGCCTGACCATGAAAGTGCTCGCCAGTCAATTGTCCAACTACTCTGGAGCCTCTAATTAAAAAAAAAAAAAAAGCTGTAAGACCTGAACAGTTCAAATCAAATCACTTTTATTGTCACATTACTGGTACAGTACATGTGAGTGAAATTGTTGTGTGCAAGCTTCACAAGCAACATACAACTAACCTAAAAAACAATACAAAATATAAGAATAAGACATTTGAGAAATATAGGAATAAGTGTATGAGCAGAACAATACAGAAATACAGAAGTCAGCAGATGAATATTGTGCAAAATGGCATTTATGCACAATATGGAGTGCATAAGTGCCGAAGTTTTGATAAGTACAGTGAAGTGTCTATGAAGAGTTAGTGTTAATGCACTTAATGCAATATTACTGTAACAGCCCTTGCATTAAAGCTCAAACTTTGGTACTTCAACCACATCTTAACGGTTCTATTTATTAAAATCCACTGGTGAACAGAGGCAAAATGATTAAAAAAAGAATAGACTATTGTCCAAAAACTTATTCTTTTTACAATAAATCTAATAACAATATGGTAAATCACTCCTTCTTCCAGTGGAAGCTTATATTATAAAATTGAATATTTTATAATATATCTATACAAATTGAAAATTTACAACTTGTACGTCACTGCCTTTGGTATATTTTCACTGAGTGATCTGTCTCATGTTTTCATGTCACTGCAGACACACTATGGAAAGTTTGATCTATAAACAGTTGGTAGTGATATTGTGTGTCTCACAAGTCATGTGCACCTAACTGTAAGTACATTTCCAAATGTAGACTCTGCCCCCTAACATGTATGCAAGCGTGTGGTTAATGGAAGAAAACCAAGGAAAAGCTGTGGTTACTGTAAGCGTCAGCTCATTCACTTAGACGCATTCCTTTTTAAAGGGTGAGGATTTGTTGATAAAACAAAACGAGTTGTGTTTTTTACAGTCACAGTATTCATTGAACGTTATATTGGTAACAGCAACAGAGGGTATGTGTAACAACGCACGGCTCATGTGTTCTCTGTTTGTAGGGGTTGTAAAATAAATTTGAACATCATGTCCAACCCAAACATTAAATCCCAACCATTTGTCTATTTACACTTGTATTACACACACACACACACACAGTAGTGAATGCTTCATTAATCTGTGCTTAAGTGAGTTTGTTAAGTAAACTGAATTCATGTACATGGACTTCTTGAGAAAAGGTAGAGCTTGTACATTTAGAGTCACTTGTTAACATTTTGCCACTTAACTTATGTCACTCTATAATGACTATATCATGTGTTGCAGTAATACACTATAACAAACCTGAGAATAATAATTTAAAAAAACACGAACACACAAGCAAACAAAAGCCTATTTTATTTATTTTATTACTTATTCAGTTTAGGGTTAAGTAAATAGTGAGCTTTGGGTTTTCAAAAGGCACCTGTAAGACCAACAATGATTTTTGACTTTAGAGTTTTCTTTGCCAGTGAAAAGAAGAAAAAATGCTAAGCGGAGGCAGTTAGCAAAGACAAAAAGTCAGACAGCACACCACTTTCTAAATCCTAATATGACTCAGTGTTATTGTCTGTTAAGATTTTTGACTTGTGGTGATTTCATAAGCACATAAGTGGATGTGTGCATTAGTTTAATTGATTTTAAACAAAAATTAATTCCATGTAAAGAAAAATAGAAATTCTCCATTCATTGTGTTTCATAATTTATTTTTCATTGTGACAGCTTAATGCCTCAGAAATGTTAAGTAATTGGGGCTTAAGAGGTTAATATGCAAACGTGTTGCAAACAGAAAAGCAGCCACTTAAAGTCATCAAACAAACAAAAATATTTAGATAATAAACAGTGTTGCATATTTGCTTCAATGATCCACAGCTTTGCGTCACTGAAATATTGATAGCCTTGTAATCACTGAGGTTTCCATATTGTTACATATTAACTTGTGTTCGCACGTCGTATTAGCATGCAAATAAATAAATAAATAAATAATACATGTGTTTTTTCCTCAATGTCACTTCCACTTCAGCGGTAACCGTCAACAGAGTTGAGCAACATTATTTCAGAAAAATCCAGAAACAACAGGGGCGTCACTTCCGGTGGAATGTTCCAACGGACTTATCCTTGGACTTTAAAAGGACCCGCTGAAAAAGTGGCTGGGAAGCTGACAGGTAACCGGTTGTGTGATGACTGTGAAATTGAGGCCGTGGCAACATTAAACTCAGGCGTTAAATTCATTTTCAAATTGATCTGCTGAAAAACAGAACAAAAATACATAACGAGGAAAAATAAGATTATAGGATCCCAGTGCGTGCGTTTCTCCATCCTTTGATTTGTATACACTAAGTAATCAGTGGAGCTCCTTCGAAGGTAAGATGTGACGCATTTTATATGAAATTTAGATGAAACAAGTACATTTTATACCAAGATTTTAGGCTCGCTGGGCTTTTGTCCAGCTGGTTGTGACGCAGTTGCACATCTTGCTTAAACCTCGATGCTGGGGGTGGGGACTCAAACACCTCTACACATTTAAGATCGGTGTGTATTTTATTCTCAAGTCGTCGGGGATGTGTTTGTTCTGAAGGATGGAGCTGTCTGACCCTGCAGAATCTGTCCGATTCTTAGGATAGAGCGCTGCGCATTAAGGTTTCCGCTGACCAGATGTGAAGGTCCTGTTAGTTAGAACGAACAGACAGAAGGATTTAAGAAAGGGATATTGCATGGCTGTCATTTGTTTAGGATCTTTGGGATGTTTATGAAGATCGTTTCTAATCTCAATTCTCAAATAGTCCCAGTAGATCTGCAATTATAAATAAGGATGTATATATCCGGAACAGTACTGTATCTGTAATAAAAATACTCTCATTTTAATTTGTCTTTCAGTTGTTGCACTTTGAGCCAGACATGATCATGGTCCACCTGACGTCCTCCTCTGGTAGGTTCCCTTTCTCACTCTCTTCTCTTAATCTGGATTACCGTACACCTCAGCATGGGTGTCAGGGATGGAAGCTGAGGTGTACTGGCATCAAATTGGGCTGGAAAACAAATATGATGATGTTTGGACAGAAGTTTTATAAACATACACAGCACGACCAACACATTTTATAGGAGAAATTTCTTCTCGTGTTACAACTTCAGTATTATTATTGTTCATTATTGTATACTGACTATGATTTGTACATATACTAATTATAATGCTTACTTCAGCACCACACCATATTCAGTATGCCCAGTTAACCTTCGTTAACAGCTGTGCATCATTTATGCATTAATTGTAAATTCATCACCATATATTTTTTACTATATGTCAACATTTCAGAACACATTCAATCTAAAAAGTATATAGTTTAAATTGTCCAGTGCATTCACTTAAGATTATCGACCTTTGTGAATCGTGAGCTCTGAGTTTTCCTTGTTTTCCATTTGGTCTTTTTAGTTGTTACCAGGAAACATAGGGTATTACATAACAAAGGTCTTCCCGTCATGCTTTGCACTCATTAGGGGCAACCCAGAAATAGAGACCTGTTTGAAATTGACAGTGCATCTCTGGCTCTGGCTTTCTCCTCTTTTTATTAGTGACCAAGAGAGTGAATTGAGTGGTTAGATTAAAACTTGCCAGTAAAATCTTTTAGCTAGTTTAAGCTGCATGCGTGGTTCTCTAATGATGCTTAGGGTGACAAAAGTTAACCAACTGGATTATATGGGAAGCTTGGCAATTCCATGATTTCCCGATTTAATGCAGAATCTTATCTGCATTAACTGTTGTGCTTTGTTTTTCCTGTAAAAAAAGATTTAGATAGTAATTTAAATACCAAATTGCAATCTAGGCTAAAGTTCTGAATGAAAAGTAAAAAAGCATGCTGTCAAGTTAAAGTGCAAGTGATTGTTGGCTTTCTGTTGTGTCTCATACGCTGTTTTCTTTCAGATGAAGAGTCTCTTGAATTCGCCTGGCTTTGGAATCACAGGAAGTTCAGGGTGAAAAACACTTGAAGGGTTAAATATATTGAAGCTTTGCAGGTCATTATCTGTGCATATTGTCTTGGACAGCACTGTGACTTGTTTTAAAAATATATAAAATAAAAATAAAAAAAGCTCACAAAAGAGGAGGCAGATAGAAAAGAATTTATTTTATTTTTTTAATTTGTGGGGCCAGTTTTTGTTTTTTGAGGGGGAGTTTTTGGGCTGGAGAGAAGCTGTGTCAGCAGTCATTCCACGTTGCTGACTGCAATAGTGAATGTAGTCTTAATACTGCAAGCTTGTTTTTCATAAAATGCAGTTTATTTCCAATTGTTGAACTGCAGGGGCTTATATTATCAATATTAATAGTGTATACATTGCTTTGAAACAGTATTTGAAACATCCTTCTGTCTTATATTTTTGTTTGTATTTTCTTTGAATGCTGTCTGAGCTTTAAATTTTAAATCCTGAATAAACAGGAAATGCTAATTTAAACTTGTTTATATTTGATAAAAAAAAGTTATTTAATTTCAAAATAAATCAGCTTTTTTTTTTTTACAAGCTTTGACATTGGTTAATGGTTGCAGCTGAACTAAACAGTCCCAGACCTGAAAACTATAAACACTGTTAAACTTGTTCCTTATTTTAACAGACCATATTTAAAGCCCTTATAAAATGGCTTAAAGGTCTGAGTACTGACTTGCTGTATCAAGCAAAATACAGGAAAAGATAAAGAACCATGTAATTGAATTACAACAATGAGAAACGTTATGTATAAATAGTGAATTTATACAGCATTTATATACTGCTTTCCTAGTCATCCAAACTGATAGAATCTGGTTATAAACTATTAATATTGACAATATAATGAAAAAACAAACCAACTAGGAAACTAGGTGGGTTGCAGGTTAATTTTAATGACAGAGTCCCCATTAAAGCCTGGGCTGCGTGTTATTAATATTAATGTTAATTTAAGCTGTGTGAATGCTGCTGCCATGTCCTTGTGTAAGGTCAGTTTGTTTTGACCAGAGTTAACAGGCTAATTGATCTCTTGTTTGGTATGTGTCAACGCAGTAGGTCCAACTCACTCTCACTGTAGCCAAGGCTGTATGTAGCAGTCCCCTAAGTATCCATACTTGTTCCCCACACCAGTATTTGTGTGTGTTTGATCCATGATACGAGTTCACATTTGAGTTTTAACCCTTACATTCATCCTGTTCAGATTTTGTATGCTATTGACTTATTTATTTTTCAAATACTATCTTTGATCTTAGAGGTTATTGCATGTGATTTTGGACAGCGTTTTGCTACAGTTAAACATGTGTAATATGTTTGATTCATTAGCATAAATGATAATATAACAAGCAGATAATGAGGCAGTCCTTAATGTTGCATGCGGTAGGCTGCACACACCTGACTTAATGTACAGTAACAAATGCATTGTAGTGATCTGAAAAGGGATGAATGTATCGTAAGGTTGGTCTCCAGCCAATAATCATGCATCTTGGTAAGTGCCATTTCTTTTACATAAGAGGAGGGAGTAATATTTTCCTTTAAAAAACAAAATTAAAAGACCTGCATTATGATTCCCATGATAAAGTGTGTAAATACTTCTTTTCTTTCAAGTAATAGATGGTATACTTAAGGTTTAAGATTACATTTCAGAATTGTTACATTTTTTTCTTCTTGTGCTCGAACTAAAGTTTGTCTAAATCCCAAAATATGATTAGTAAACTATACCAATTCAGACACTTGCATCAACATGCCATCTGGTGTGGTCTTCTGTCAGTAGGGCTTTAGCTTTTGTTTTTCTAAAACCTCAGCAGAGATTATTGACCTAACACAGAAAAATACTAACTGCTGTTATCGTTTGGTCTCAGGTTTCTTTCAGTGCACCAAAAAACTCTTTCTGAGCGATCGGGCCACAGAACTTCAGATCAAGGAGTTTGCGCGTAAAAATGCGGCTAATGCACTGTCAGTTGCCAACATGGTCATGGGCATGGCCTCGATTCTCAGCAGCCTTAATGGGTGAGTAAATAAAGGAGTAATGGGTTTTACTTGTCAGCTGCTGGATGGGCGGAGTTTGTAAGGAGGAATCATTATGTGAATGAGTGTGGAAATGAATGATGTTGTGCATCAATAACCAAACTTTAGTCATTAAACACAACGCAATAAAATCAATCAAAATTTCACAAAACCCAGGAATAAATCAGAAAACACAACAGAAAAAATAAAAGTAGTATTTCAGAAGCTGAGCTATAATTTAGCAAACATATAAGTGTTTTCAATTATTGTTATTATTATTATTATTATTGTGGTTTTATTGTTTGTGTTTTCAAACAACAATGTTATTAACATCCTGTGTTTAGCCCATCAAGGAAAATGATAATATTTATAACAGATTACGAGCCGCTCTAGGTTTAGTTTAAAGGCACAGTTTGCTTTCCCAAAAATGGCAATCTGCTTTATATAAAAAAAGAGACTTTTCTAACATTGTCAGAACTTTTGAACTTGCAGACATTTAACCCTTTTTACTTAATTGTTCAACCTAACAATGACTGGCTTTGTTCAGGCATCATCACGCTGCGTGTTGGCTCGTTCTGATTGGCTACCTCCTGGATTTGGCAGATGGAGCAGTTGCCAGGCAACTCAATGCATGCTCTGCACTGGGTAAGTGGAGTGTTGTGGTCAATAGCACTTACCAAAGATACACTTCCACTGTGGTGTTGGCAAGGCTTGCTGCACAATCTTTTTGTCTGAGCTTTTTTAATTTGGCCACACAAAGAGATCCAGTAAAGGGAACCTTTGCAATTGAAAACTCTTCTTATGTTTCCAACAGAAGAGTCATGAATAATTTATGCAATGTTATTTGAGATTCATCAAGTTAACTTCTTTCAAGTTATGTCTGTGCTCTAGACAAGACAAGATGAATGCATATTTAAATACTTGCATATTTACGCTTTAAGGACTATATTTGTGGCTTGTTTACAAAAGAGCCCAATGCCTCATAGTAAAAGGGAAAGTATAAATAGCTTTGACATTGCTTCCAGTCTGCAAATTCCTAATTTCTGAGATCCCAAAATAGTTTTCAGTTGCATCACAATACATTGTTGGCTGCACATTGCAGGGGGCTTTGTGTCTCAACAAGCCTTTTCTGCATGACTTTGCAGGTGGGTGTTGTTGTGCCCCCCACGTATTTTGTCAAATGAACAATAACTTTCTGATTAAGCAGCCTAATTCCACGGGATCATGGCCCAATTGTCTATTTTATCCTGTTGCTTTGGGTTCTCGGCATATCTGAAATTGCTAAAATTGTTGACCCTGGACTGTGGAATTCCACCTCGTTCATCTGTGCCGTGGCCTGAATCACCTCATCCTCATCCGCTGAAAACATGCTATGTGCTCCTGAGGGATAAAGAGATAAGGCAGTGGAGAATGTTGTTTATAGAATGCCTGCCTGTTGGGCTGACACTGACATTTCCACTTGAGAAATTTTTGCACATTCACCGCACGACTGTCACATGACATGGCACTGGCAAAGATCAGTGCTGAAGAGACATAATACATCTACTGTGGCTTTCACGATTAATGTGCTATGCTAATAGAAGCAGTGTGACACAAGCCTTTCTAAAGCTTATTAGTACAGCTATCAGCAGCAAACATGCCAAACCTTCCTTTTTCATGTTCAGGTGCAAAGCTAGATGATTTTGCTGACTTCACGACCTTTGGGATTGCGACGTCATTGCTCCTGAGAACATCTGATCTGCTCGACAACATCCTGTGCATGTGTTACGTCCTTTCTGTCTTTGTCCGCCTCTGTTTCTTCTCCAGTGGTAAGTTTAAAAAAATGTAGTCTTATTTAACACTGTCCTTTTCAATTTAGTCTTTAATTTCAATCATCGCTTTGCCAAGTAAGGACATAGTTTGTGTTGTTTTTCCTTATAGGGATCCCTTTCATGTATCGTGGCCTGCCCTGTATTTACTCGTCAGCCATCTTGGCAAGTGCCTCTTTGCTGTCGGGGGGAAACATGGCATTGCTCCGAGTCATTGCAGTTGCTATGATCCTCTTCATGATCAGCCAGAACTTTTACCCTCACGACAGAGTGCTGGAGTCGCAGGCCTGGAAGAAAGTAGTCTACGCTGGAGGTAAAGTAATTTTTAAGAATCCGAGAATCTTAACCAGAACTGCCAAAACCTATAAATGTTTTTACTGTTATTTACTTATTTATTTTTAATGAGGTTTGAGCCACTTACCGCATGTGTTTATGAATTCTAAACTAAACTACAAGGAAACATTTATTTAACTTATCCCAGTCCAAATGTACATTTAAATCGCTTTGTGCCAAAATTTGAATTTAAATTCATTGAAGCTGCTTTTTGGAAAAAATGTCCTGGCTGTTTCACATTCAAATGTTTTTGTGCTGTGATAAAGATGGAATGCTGGCTAATCAGTCCATTCTGCAGATCAAAGCATCTAGTAAACACCTCAATATTAATAAGAAGTGTTGGGGGAAAAAAACATTATTGAAGCCCAGATAATGAGTGCAACACCTTCATTTCGTGCAGACATTCAGTTTCTTTTTTGTGTTTTTATTCTCAGGAATCATCATGTTGTTCTGCTCTTCCTTCCCTCCTGCGTGTATGTACTACCTGCTGTGGTCTGTCTCCTACATTTTGTTCCCAACATCCCTATGGAGCAGTAAAGTGTAAAAGGGATGCTGGCACGCTTAAAAACACTCCCAAACAGGTTTACCTCAGCCCGTCCAGGTGAACCAAGGCTTACAGATTACTGCTGCGTCTTACTGCTGTGGAGGATTCAAGCTAATTCATGCATCACATGCATGCACTCTGCTTAATGTTTTTATTTTGTTTTGTTTTTTTGAGATGACACCTCTGAGGGAACCTAAAATCAGTAAGAATGATTAGCAAGGCATTTTATGTTACTGGTGAGGATTAACCTTCATCCTGTCATCTATTAAACCCCCTTCTTCAGTATTAATCCAATCTTGGTCAGTATTGGGAGCACATGGCAGCAAGCACATCTACAGTATGATTCTAAATATTATTTTAAAAAATATATATATTTCCAATATTTTCTTACTTCTAACTTGTTGTGGTTTATCGCAAATGACTTAATAATATTTATTTCATAGTGTTGAGTGTAGTTAAAGAAATGGCTACTGAAATAGTAACAATTATGTAGGTATGTGCTCTAATCCATGAATCAAAAGTAATATCTCATTGAGATTCAGAATTTCATGCCCTCTCTGCATCTATACTTTAAAACAAAGTCATTTTAATTCATCCAGTAGACCCATTTTGATTAAAATTATATTTTTTAACGTTTGTTTTTTGGATTGAGATCATTACCGTTTACGGAGAGGTCTTAAATCCAGTGATAAAGGAAAATATAATTATTTAATATGATTGTAGTGTCCTTCACAATTTTGATTTGCTGTTTGAATATATGTTTTAAATAACTTACTGACCAGTACTCTTGTAAGTTAGGGGCTTTTATTTAAGCTTCAAGACTATATGATGCAATAGATTCCCTTATTTCATCAATGTGTGATTATTTTTTTATTGGGTTATTATATGCATTTGCCTCTGTTTTAAGAGGCATTATGGTTTAAATAGTAAGTAAATCCACACTGGACTGTAATGATGTGATGAATTAGTGATGTCACAACAGGTGTCTTTAGAACATCTTATGTGGCATAAGGAGTCAAGTTGAAATACTAAATCCCCAGCAGTTTTCTGCCTCATGTAGTGTGAATTTACCCTTAGAGAGGCTTCCAAACCTTTCCTGCCATCTAGTGGGTAAAATTACTGCACGTTCTGCTTCAACTTAAAGGTAAGATAATGTCAGAGTCAGTGCTGAGTTTGATCACAAGCATAGTGCAGCAGACATTAAACCCGAAGAGGCTGGTGGAGGAAATAATGTGTGTGATGATATTGGCCAGTATATATCTGATCTGAGACAAATCACTTGTTTTGTAGATCTTATTTAGTAAGAACGCATTTTTGAAATCTCTCATTGTGTTTCACAGTGGGTGTTAGTGCCTCTCTGCATTGTGAGTAACAAATGATTATGATTGTTAGGTTTTTCTCTGCATGTATTATTGTAAGGTCTACCTTACGATATAAAGGCGACTGTTGTTGTGATTTGTATAAATAAAATTGAATTGAAATGAGAAGATTATATAGTTTTGTACCAATTTGTTCAGAAGCCCGATGAAATGTGAGCACAGAGTAACAGTTAAATGTGTCTGTTTTCAGGCCTAAAGATAGCAGGGCGGGCAACAAATCATAATTTACACAAATTATGATTTGTTGCCCACCCTTTAAAAAACCATCATCCTTGAGCTCACACTCAGAGGTGTATGAAATCACTCGCAGTTTAGGTTCAGTGATTTTAGTTACTTTAATCAGTCTTCTGTAAGCCACAGCTTTTTGGAACTTAAGTTATCCCTATTATTCTGCCTTAAAGAGCTATTTGAAGCAATGATAATCAAGTGGAGCACAATTTTACAACACAAGATCTTTGTTAAGAAATAAAAAAACAAAAACAAATGTAATGTCTTCTGATTCAGTTATGATTTAAAATCACTGTAGTTCATTCTCGACATGGTTTACGATAACCAGTGTTACGATTAAAATCGACAGTGAACTGAGCGCAGATGTACTTGTCATTCATTGGTGGATTCAGCTTTTCTGTTTGGGTGTTTCTGGTTTTGAAACTGTAAAGTCACAGTAATTAATGTCTGCATGCCAAGAGCATTATAGATACAAAAACTATATTTTGCCCAAAGATAGTGGAAAAGTTCTCAAGTATTACTAAAATCTGTGCTTTTAGATCTGTACAATTTGACCACAAGGCTGTATTAATAAAAAAAATAATACTTGGAATTATTGTCTTGATTCATTATATTTTTACTGAACTGGAAATGTTAGAACTCCTGTAGTCACTTTTACCATGTCGGATTGCTATCAACGTCTCAACTAAACCCATACATGGTTATTAATAAATTGTGATTGATCTCTAATGTGAATGTTACTGACATATTTACCATACACTCACTGGACAATTTACCCTTTTGCCTTCAGAGTTCTTAATGACATAGATTCAGCAAGGTGCCGGAAACATTCCTCAGAGATTCTGGTCAATATTGATATGATGGCATCACACAGTTGCTGCAGATTTTCTGTCTGCACATGTATGATGCTAGTCTTCTGGGCCATCACGTCCCAAAGGTGTTCTACTGGTTTTAGAGTTAGTGGCCACTGGGGGCCACTAGAATACAGAGAACTCATTGTCAAGTTCAAAAACAACATTTTTGAGATGACTTGAGGTTTTCAGCATTGCAGGCATTAGAAGACAAGCACAATGTAGTCATAGAGGGATTGACATGGTTAGCAACAATACTCAGGTGGTCTTTAAATGATGCTCAGCTGGTACTAAGGAGCCAAAAGTGTTTCAAGAAAATACGCCCGACACCATTACATCACCAGCAGGCTATCGAGGTGATACAAGACAGGATGGATCCACACTTTAGAGGTTTTTTTTTACTAACTTCTGACCCTACTATTTAAATTTTGTAGCAAAAACGGACACTTATCAAACAGGCAACAGTTTTCCATCTTTTGTTGTACACTTTTGGAGAGACTGTGTGAAATGTAGCCTCAGTTTCCTGAGCTGACAGAAGTGGCACCTGGTGTGGTCTTCTGCTGCTACAGCTCATTCACTCCAGGGTTTGGTGTATTGTGCCTTCACAGCATACCTTGGCTGTGCTAGTTTATTTGAGTTACTGCTGTTTTCTTATCATCTCAAAGCAACCTGTCCTCTGGCCTTTGTCATCAGTAAGGCATTTTCACCCCCAGTGGGTATCTTTATTTTTCTAGTAAAATAGTAAAATCCTAGTAAAACACTCAAACCAGCTCATCTGGCAATCATATCATGTTTAAAGTCAAAACGTGATAGTTTCTTCTGATTCTTCTTCTGGTCTGAATTTCAGAAAGACTTTTCACTATTTCTTATATACCTAAATTTAATGAGTTGCTACCATGTGATTAGCTGATTCAATAACTGCATCAACCAGCACCTGTTGTTGTGCCCCCAACAACAAGTATACCCGAGAAAGTGGCGGATGAGCGTAGGTCTATTCGATCAGTCCTGCCATTCTCTTATATTCAGTTATGTCAATGACCTCAGAAATACAAATCGGTGTTGTATCAGCAATGTACAGCGAGGACTCAAACAGCTTGATGATGGCTGAAAATGCCGGTCGTTCTTTGAAGCTCCACATCCAACAGTACTTCATCAGGTCATACCTAAATACATATGGA